CAGAGCAGAGCTTCAAACCCCAAAGGTTTCTGAGACCATAAATATTGACGGGGGCAGGCGTGGACAAAGACAACCTCATCTTCCTGATGAAGAGGGATTGTTGCGTCCGAACTGCTGGCCTTAAGGTTGGAGTTTAAACAGCACTGGCCAGTCTTGAATTTCCCATGCGCCCTTACTTCCATTGAGGAACAAACGGAAGTTTTCAACAAACATATTTCTAACAATTTCCCTCTGGCTCTTCCTACCTGTTAAAAATCCCACTTTGGCGTCACGCAGGCGTCTGCCAGGCAGAATGGGTTGGAAGCGGCCCTCTCTACAACTCGTTGTGCAGCGACTCTACAGGACAGGGTTAAACCACCCCAGGGGTTTACAAGATTGTAACTCTTTCAGCGAGTTAACAGAGGGACCCCTCTTTCTCCCCAGGGGCGGCTGGGGGCTTCGAACAGCTGACCTGACGGTTAGCAGGCCACTGTGCAACCACGCAGGTGAAAATTATTTTTTTATTTCACTCTGACATATTGTATTTCGCACCTGACGCGGGATGCACGGGAAGAGCCCGTGCCTTCCTGTTGCTCTTGGAAACGCTGTCACCGACCAGCTGGACAGCCTGTGTTGCCCTTGTTGGTTTGGAGATGCGGCACACCTGGAATGTGGGGCTCTCTGCTGCTTTCTGCGAGATCACTCTGATAGGCATTCATCAAACAGCTCTCTTGCAAAAGGAAGGGCTGACTCTACCCAGCTGTGTACTGCAGCCAGGTATGGTCCCATAGGACCTCCTCCTTGTCACAGAGGCCACCGTGTCCTCTGAGCCTGAGCCATCAGAAACAGGACATCTCGGGACCCGGCCTCACGGCCTAGAGATGGCGCTACCTTGATCCATGTGGTGCTTCTCTTGAATGGAAGGGGGATCCCTGGTGGCAGGCAGGGCAGGTGTTGATATCCCGTGACCCGTGACACCAATCCTTTTGTCATTTCTTGATGCAAGCAGGCTGGAGCGCTTTGTCAGCTTCCGCTGGCTTCTGGGCCCTGGGTTCAGTTTCCTGTGGTCATGGACAGCAGGTAGCCATCCCCGCAGACCCCAGCGCTGAGCTTCGGGTGATGGGATGACACGGGCCTTCAAGTCCCTTTCCCGGACACACAGAGGTGGCTTTCTGATCCAAGGTAATCAAGAATGGTGTCCACGCACACAGGTGAGGCGGCGTCCACAGGTCTTGCTCCCCAGCCTTTGAAGCTTTCGGGGCACAGAGAGCCAGAGTTTGGCCTGAGCAGAGGTCTTTAGAGTGAGCTTTTTGCAGGGGCTCTAAATGGCTGGTCATTGTCAGGGGGAGCATTGCAGATGAAAAACAAAACAAAAACCTCCTGCCAACCAGTCAGTTCTGACCCATGGCGACCCTACAGAGCAGAGCAGCACCGGCCCTGGGGGCTTCTGGGGCTGCACCTCTTCCGGGAGGAGTAAAGCCTCCTCTTTCTCCAGTAGGGCAGCTGATGGCCTTGTGGTCAGCAGCCCAACCGGTAACTCACCAGGCCACCGGGGCGGGCAGTGTGCCCAGTACGTTATCCATCTTAACCCAGGACGTCTGCTCGCGTCTTCTGTCTGCCTTTGAGCATCTTGCTCATGGAAGTCGGATATTTGCTTGATGCCCATGTACTCTGGCACCTGTTTGCTTGTTCCAGGGGTGAGAGCTGTCTCAGTCTCCTCACACTCTACCTAGCCCAGTCGGCTGTGGCTCACGGCAACCCGGTGTGTGTCCGAGTAGAACGGAGCCCCTTCAGGTTTCCAGCAGAATGGGATCACCAGGCCTTTCTTCTCAGGTGCCTCCGGGTGGATGCGAACCTTCAACCTTCAGGTGAGGGGTCAAGTGTGTGGATGGGGTACGTCTCCGCAGGACCCCGCAGGCTGCGCCTCTAGCTGTAGGCATCGGTGTTTGTCTTCTTCCTCCGTACAATCCAATGCCCTTCAAGAAAAGGAAGGTTTTCTATCTCGCCAGTAGACTTTCAGACACATCATGTTTCCAGGCCAGGAGGTGCTGGACAGTTGGTTTCTACTCACTGGGACCCCTACGGATAGCAGAAGAGAGAGCACTTTCTAGCCCTGGGCCGTCCTCCCAGTCCCGGCTAGACGGAGCCCATGGTTGAAGCCACTGAGTCAACCCACCTCCTGCAGGGTCTTCCTCTTGGTCCCTGACCCTCCACTTGACTGTAACCAGAAACATGCTCACGCCAAACGGAGCTCTCTGCCATCAAGGGGATTCTGAGTCACCGCGACCCTACAGGGGTGGAACTGCCCCAGTGCGTTTCCCAGACTGTAACTCTTTACGGGAGCCGAAAGCCTCTTCAAAGCTCCCGGTGAGTAGAGAATAAACCCTTACAGCTTGACAAGCCCTCCCCAAGCACAGTGGTCCTCCCCCTTCCTCATGCCGATACCTTTCATACAGTTCCTCATGTGGTGGTGACCCCCAACCATAACATTATTTTCGTTGCTACTTCATCACTGTCATTTTGCTGCTGTGATGAATTGCGCGACCCCTGTGAAAGGGTCGTTCGACCCCCAAAGGGGTTGCGACCCACAGGTTGAGAACCGCTGCCCTAGACAATACCTCTCACTTGACACAACCTGCGAAATAAGTAAAAACTGTTTTACAAAGAATAAAACTCTATAAAATTACATACACACACATGCACTCACTCACTGCCCCTATTCTAGTCGATTCTAAATCCTAGACCCACTAGGACAGGCTGGAGCTGCCCCTGTGCGTTTCTGAGACTGGAATCCTTCCCGGGAGCAGGAAGCCTCGTCTTTCTCCTGCGGAGCCCGGGCTGATGGTTTCCAACTCCGGCCTCGCCGGCAGCAACCCCACTCATAAGATCTTAAAGAGTCAGTCTCAGAAACCCAGGGGCAGTCCCACCCTGTCCTGCCGGGTCACTAGAAGTCGGAACGGACGCCATCACGGTGGGTTTGGTTTGGGGTTTTGTACTCATCCATGCCACCAGGGAGTAAGTTTTCCATCATGATAAAGGACGACATTGATAATGGCAGAAAATGAGTAGTTTTTAGAGTGTAGCATTACATGAAGCTGATCCTTCTACCCACGGCCTGCACAATAAGGCTCAGCATGGGGTGACCATCCCCCTGCCCTCTCCTGCCCCAGCACCCACCCCCATGCCCTCGGTGGAGACAACACAAAGCCCATTCTCCCACCCCCCCACCTCCCAGCCTCCCTTTATTTCTGGAGAGCCCAATTGGCTCCAGGAGGAGCTGGCACAGCTTAAACATTCCCTGCTGGGACGGGCACGTGGGCTAACCTAAAGACCACAAACAGATCTGCTGGGACGGGGCACATGGGCTAACCTAAAGACCACAAACAGATCTGCTGGGACGGGGCACATGGGCTAACCTAAAGACCACAAACAGATCTGCTGGGATGGGGCACGAGGACTACCTTAAAGATCACAAACAGATGCGACCTTTCCTCCAGAGCTAAAAGAAGGTTCCAGACTTCACCAGGCCAATCCCCAACTCCTTGGCTCTTGGGTCATCAAGAAGGAAGAGGAGGAGGAGGAGGAAATCCTATTTCCATAGACGAGCTTGCAGAAGACGGTCAAAAACAGCTGGCCGTGCACCCTGAAGATATGGCCTTTCAAGAATATAAAATTATGCGAAGGAGTCAGCTCTGTGGGAAAGCGCTACGGTAATGACCCTTCCCGGGCCGACCCCATGAGAGGGTGTACGTCACGTGTGTAGCTCAGACAGCTCGCGCCAGGCCGAAAGGCAGCTTCTCCGGTAATGAGGGTGCTCTGCCTCCGAGGCAGGGCCGCCGTACCACAGACAGGAAGCAGAGATGCCCCAGGGAGCACAGCTCATTTCCCATGCGGCACTCAGCAAGTCTGAGATGCCCCTCAAGGCACAGTCACCGAGGGGAGGTAGTAAGAGGCTTCCCATGGCAGAGAGTCTCAGGTGGGAAACAAGTTTCCGTCCAACAAAAAAAAAAAAAAAAAAAAGGCATTAATGGGAAAACTTTAAAAAAAGAACCCAGAGGTCTGATTCCTGAGTCTCAAGCCGCAGCTAGGACGACAGCAGAGGGATGGGAGCGGGTGGGGGGTGGGGGGCAGGAACTGAGGAACGAGAAAGAGACAAAGAAGCAATGAGAGTCTAGCAACGCAAGACCAAGCCGTGCGGTTCCACGCCCCGCAGGTAAGGAACAGACGCGCAGAGAGGTCACTGGGACAGCTGGCCAGGGCTGCTTGCATCTCTCCAGGGCAAGCGGATCCCAACTCACAGCAGCGAGACAGAGACAGACAGACGGAGAAGAGGGCAGAGCGGCCCCACCAGCGTTCCGGCTGTCGTCGGATAGCAGGCCTTTCTCCTGCAGAGCCTTGGACCGTTGGGTGGGCCACCAGGGCTCCTCAGAACAGGGCTGAGAAGCAAACACTTAGGATTGTGTTTTTCCAAGAAGAAAGTGTTCTGGAAGTGGAAATACTTCGATTCAACCAAGAAACTAGGCACTCTACGCGGCACAGGAGTTTGGCTTTAAGCCCCCATCCTTCATGTCAACCTTGAGAAATCCAACTCTTCAAGCTCTCCTACGGAGAGGATTGCTCAGCACTAGGGTGTCCACAAAGAGAGGTCTGCAGGGGCAGTGATTGGCTCAAAGGGCAGGCTGAGGAGGGGGTGGAGGTGGGGAGAGGCAACCTCACAGCAGGATCTCCTGATCTGCTTCTGTAAAACTCACTGCACCGCCAGGGAGCCTCCCAAAGCAAAACCAAACCCGCTGCCGGGCGTCCACTCCAAGTCTTAGCCCCCTACATACAGGGCTTCCCAGATCGTAGATCTCTGTCGGAGCAGACAGCCTCATCTTTCTGCAAAGCGGCAGCTGGTGGGTTGGAACCGCTGAACCGCTGACCTTATGGTTAGCAGTCCAATGTTTAGCGCCCCCACCAGGGCTCTTTCAGAACTTAATACACATATGGGCAGAGAGGTGGCGGGGCAGACAAAAGAGAGCAGCGGCCAGGGCCTTCTGCAAGATACACCCTGAACATGGGGCGGGTCGGAGAGTCCGGACACCTGCTCTAGTTCCTTAGCCACAGGAGCTCCGACAAACTCTACCATGAAGCGACAAAGGGGCACCCTGGGCTTGGACCAGTCCCCGCCCCACCTGGCAAGTCCAGGGTCTCAAATGGAGCCTTCATTTTGCTCAGACCCCAAGACCGAAATGCCAGCTCTCAGCAACCCTGTAAGATAGCTGAGAACTGCTCCTTTGGGCTCCCAGCCAGTGTGACTTTATAAGGACAGACTACCGCATCTTTCTCCCTCAGAGCGGCTAGTGGATTAGAACTGCCAACCTTCACCCAGTAGCCCAGTGCTCAATACCTGTGCCACTAGGGTTCCTTCCACCACAGGACAGGTAGTTTTGGAACCATTCATTCCTCCCAAAGGAAGATGATAGCTTTGTACGTACTTGGTTCTCAAACCTGTTTTCCCACAAAGTGTGAGGGGTGTGTGTGTGTGTGTGTTGTGTGTGGAACAGAAAAACAATCACCCACACTATGGTTAGAGCACAACGAAGCAGACAATATTAATAAAATAATAAAGCGAGACCTGGTATCTGGAGGAGGTAGGTTGAGTCTGCCTGCATTCACTGCCCTCTGGGAGCTAGGACTGATCGGGTTTCCAGCGGTTGAGACCTGGTCTGCTGGCGGTGACATGGGTCCCAGTCGCTGAACCATCATGGCACTGCTGGTGACCACTAGATTGTTGCAGCCGCTTTTTCCAATGGACTTGCACTGAGACCCAAAGCCAAGAGCCCCTGAAAACAAAGGAACAGATTAGCTTCCGTGGCCCTCACCAGAGAGCAGTAAGCACACACATGCACCCTCTTATATCCGGACCCATCCTGGGGTCTCTCCGTATTGACGGGACCACAGAGCCTCCTCTGACCTCCATGGAAAAGCTGTAATCCCATCCTTCCATAACCACCCTTCCTACCAAACGTGCTTCCCGTCCTGCCACGTCTATGTAGAAGTCCCAGTCACACTGAGCCTCCTATTGACCAATGTCCAGGGTCCAAGGTGGGAGGGAGGTAGATGGGCTCCCCTCAGACAACTCACTCTCCTGGAATAGTTAGTCCCTGGAGCCTGGCAGCAAAGAGAGTTGGCCTTGCTGAGAAAGCTGCCCAAGCGGTTGATAGATTCCCAACCTGGCCTTCCAAAATGTCTCCAAAAAGAGATGTACTACCTGGTGGTGTCTCTCCAATCTGAATTTTGCCTCTTTATTCAATACATTGTCATGGGTGACAGACTCGAGAAGAGACAAGAAGAGGAGAGGAGAGGAGAGAAGAGGAGGAGGAGGAGGAAGAGGA